CCCCAAAACCCCAAAACCCCAAAACCCCAAAACCCCTACTGCCAACTTTAATTAAATTTTAGGTAATTAGAGAAATTAGAGGCAAAAGGGATTAATAAATTATATTATAATCACAAGAACAAATAAATAAAATGATGTTCAAAAAGATACTTATAGCAAATAGAGGAGAAATCGCTTGTAGAGTAGCCTAGACTGCCAAAAGATTAGGAATTCAAACAGTTGGTGTTTACTCAGAGGCTGATAAGCATGCTAAACACGTTCAAGTAATGGATGAGGCATACTTGATTGGACCACCTCAACCTTAATAATCTTATCTTAGAGCTGAGAGAATAATTGAAGTAGCACATAAAACTAAGGCACAAGCAGTCCATCCAGGGTAACTTTTAAATATTTCTTAATGATTCACTATAGTTATGGCTTTCTATCAGAGAATGCTAAGTTTGTAGATCAATTAGAGAAGGATAATATTGTAATATAAAGCAGTTTATTTATGGATATAGACTTTCATCGGCCCACCTACTAAAGCCATAAGATCGATGGGTTCAAAAGCAGAGTCAAAAAATATCATGAGCAAAGCTAATGTTCCAATAGTCCCCGGATATCATGGTGATAATCAAGATCCAGATTTCTTATTGGCTGAATCAAAGAAAATAGGTTTCCCTGTTATGGTAAAGGCTTCACTTGGAGGTGGTGGCAAAGGAATGAGAATTGTTCTAAATGAAGGAGAATTTAAAGACTAACTTGATGCAGCTAAAAGAGAAGCAATGAAGGGCTTCAATGATGATCACTGTATTATTGAGAAATATATTGGCAAACCAAGACATATAGAAGTTTAAGTTTTTGGTGATAAACATGGAAACTACGTTTATCTCAACGAGAGAGACTGTTCTGTATAGAGAAGGCATTAAAAAGTTATTGAAGAGGCTCCATCATAAATTTCCCCTTAAATCAGGAAAAGCATTGGAGAGGCTGCAGTACAAGCAGCTAGGGCTGTGGGATATTTCAATGCTGGAACAGTAGAATTTATCTTTGATACAGAGACCGATTAATTCTACTTTATGGAGATGAATACAAGACTATAAGTAGAGCATCCAGTGACTGAGATGGTAACTGGACTTGATCTTGTAGAATGGCAGCTTAAAATTGCAGGAGGATTCCATTTGCCAATAGTGGAGCAAAGTAAAATCCCACTAATTGGTCATGCTCTTGAAGCCAGAGTCTATGCTGAAGATCCTGAGAATGGATTCTTGCCAGGAAGCGGACTCATTAAAATTTTGAGAGAGCCAAAAAGATAGGAGGGCAAAGTTAGAATCGATACAGGAATAAGAGAAGGTGATCAGATCTCCACATTTTATGATCCTATGATATCAAAGCTCATAGTTTGGGGTGAAACAAGACAAGAAGCTATTGATAGGCTTTATTAATCATTGGAAGACTATAAAGTTATTGGTTTACCAACTAACATTAAATTTATGAAGAGAGTTCTCCTCAATTCCACCTTCAAAACAGGAGTATTTGACACTTCATTTATAGCCTAAAATGAAAAGGAGTTATTAGGTGATAGACCACTAACTGACTTGGAGAAGAACAAATAACTAGCTTCTGTTGCCTTAGTGAATGTTTGGTTTGAAAATGAGACTAATAGATTCCAGAGATTATCACATGTTGATCCTTGGAAATCTTATGATAATTTCAGAGTAAATAATGTTGCAAGAAGAGACCTTAAACTCACAGAAGGAGAGGGAAAAGAACATCATCTTAAAATTGAGTACTTGACTGAAAACAAGTTCAACGTTTTAAATGATAAGGATGAGTATATTTTGAAAAATGCAGAGGTAATTTTGAATTAGGAAAGAGAAGAAGAGATATTAATTAGAACTGACTCAGAATAATTCAGAGTACCTTATCTCAGAGATAACTTGGGCGAGGTATATTGCTTAGATTCAGAAGGAGCACCTCTTAAAATTGTAATATTTACAAACTTGATAAAATTAAAAATAGTTAAAGAAAAAGGAAATCCTTGAAAGTGAGCTTGGTGAAGGTGACATTGCAAAAGCAGATTTTGTAAAGAGTCCAATGCCAGGAACTGTAGTCAAGATCTATTGCAAGATTGGCTAGGAAGTCAAGAAAAATGAGCCTCTTATTTCGGTGGAATCAATGAAAATGGAGTTCTTAATCAAAGCCACTCATGATGTTAAAGTTAAGGAGATAAGAACTCAAGAAGCTAAGTTTGTGTAGATGGGAGAGCAACTTATCATTTTTGAAAAGCAAGAAGAAACTAAATGAGTTGATGATAGGCGCTTACTTTAAAAAACACAGACAAAGTGAAACTCTCTATCTTACTAATGAGATAACTCACTATTTAATCTTTTTATCAAAAATGTTTCGATTCACCAAAAATATTCTTAAGGGGTTTTGGGGTTTTGGGG